TTCACAGAGGGGAAGGAGTAATTATTTGAATGATATTTTCTTGTTTAATTAACATTTATTGTCTTGTGGGTAACAGGCACTGTTGGGTACTTTTACATCTGCTATTTTATTTAATTACAAAGAGTTCTTCACTTGCAGATAAGATTTCCCAGGGGCTTTCTTTGACTAATGAGTTATCCTAGCCTGGCCTTCCTCAGCCCCTCGTCGCCTGGGGAGCTTTGGCACATCTGGTTCTGGGTTTCATCCTTCAGAGCCTGTGTACCTGTGCAGGGTTTCAAACCCTAGACTAGCCAAAGATGTCATTTCACTTGCAGAAAAATACTGACCTAAACTTTTGAGTCACAAGTGACTGCCCCAGACTTGAGCAGGAAAATAGTCTGTGCCAGGAGGAGTAAGTCCCATACCTGTTTTCCTTTGTTTCCTGTAAGTGAGATGTGGGACGTGTCAGAATAATTATGGAATGGCCTACAATTCTAGCTACTCAGGAGGTGAAGATCAGGAAGATCACAGACTGAGGCCAGCCCCTGGGCAAAAAGTTTGTGAGACTCCATTTCAACCAGTAAAATCTAAGTGTGGTGGTGTTCACCACACACATAGGAGGATAACAGTCCAGGCCAGCCAGGGCATAAACATGAAAAACAACTAAAGTAAAAAGGGCTGGGGGCGTGACTCAGGTGGTCAAGCACCTGCATTGCAGCACAAAGGCCTGAGTTCAATCCTCAGTACCTCCAAAAAAGATTATGGAATGAAGCAGGTTAGAAGATGGTATCCTAAACGTCTCAAACCCAGAATTTCCAGGTGTGCCTAATTTGTAGTCTGGGTTTTGCTCTGTGGTGTGTATTAGAAACATGCCAGTGACTTGCATAGTTAAAGGATTTTTGCTATAAGAAGTTAGGGCCCAATTTAAGGAACTTCTATACTAAAGGTAATTCCTTTTAATACATATGTACAGAATACAGATCTGCAAATAGGAGTTTAAAAAGGCAAAGAATTAAAAGGAATTCTTTTTTTTTGGTGGTAGGATTATGGCTAGAAATGTCTTCTTGTGATGTCTTTGTTGTCAGAGCAAAGTTGCTTCATGGGCAACATTAAAAGAAAAACTGAAAAAGACTTAGCAGTTTAGGAAACTCAACTTTTCTTGAAGGATCACATAATAGAAAAGGAACTGTAAGAATGATTTATCATTGAAAATATATGTAGTGTATAAAAAAGATTCCTGGTCATCTTCATAAATAGATTTGGTTCAGTGGGAACTTTTAGCCCTGCTTAGAAAATCCCAGGAGTGGTACATGTGTGGAGTGACTGGTGATCGGATAAGGAATGCTTCCACTAGACTTGCCAATGTTAGAGTTATTTTTCCCCCAAATAAGCAGTATTTCTGGTCATGGTAATTAGATAGCCTTCTGTTTAAACACTGTCGTGTGCCTTTTAAAAACATTATATTACAATAAGTAATATGGCTTGGGCAAGTCATACTGTTTTTTCAGGGCCTGGGGATCTCTGTTGGTGTCGTGAAGGGTTTAGGACTAAAAAGACTGATTAGTTTTCAGATTTCAGATTTCAGCCTCCTAGAGGCCTGGAGCTCCTGGAAAACGCTGGGGAGGAGTGCTGAGCTGAGTGGTTGGCCTCCTCAGCCAGAGCTGCTCCGTAGGTTTGGTTCTGGGTAAGTGCTCTTTTGCTCAGAAGGGAAATCAGGTCAGCTCTGCATGCATCAAGGCATACTGCCAGCTGCTGGGGGCACTAGGATGACCAACACAGTGTTCAGTCTTCAGGTAGCTCAGCACGGATAAATCCAGCACTTCTTCAGCTGGGTCAGGCTGGGTGGGAGAAGGAGAGGGCAGCAGGCTGTGTACAGGAACCCTGGAGGTTTTAAGGATGCAAATGGCAGGGGCTAGGGCCATGGCTTAAGTGATAGAGTGCATACATGAAGCCCTGACTTCAAACTCTAGGCACCAACAAATGAATAGATAAATAAATTAATAAACAAGCAAATAAAAAGCAAATGAGAAGTAGAGGGTGGTACCTTCCTCAAGTCATCTGGAGAGGAAAAGGAGGAAGGAGGGCACCCACATGGGGCAGTTGGGACTCTCCTGCTGTCTTGGAGCAAGCTCAGGGCCTTCCGCCTGCCAGGGAGGGAGAGGACCTGGCTCTCAGAGGACCCTAGGCCCAGTGCTAAGGGCCTGGTGGAGCCCCCTGGCCCAGGCAGACTACCTTGGGAAGCCTACCCTCCTTCATGTCCAGGCTTATCTTTTTTGCCCACCTTTGTGATTTAGCAGTGAGCAGAGCCTGTATGCATGAGCACAGACTCTGCTTGGTTTCCCTCCAGCCTCTGGCCAGTGGGAGTTTGTCTTTGAGCTGTCAGGTGAGATAGCATCTCCTTGGGGAAGCATTTCTCATACTGTTCATCTGGGTTATCCCTGCTGAGTTCATCCAACGCCCTCTTCTGTGACTGCCTCACACCTGGCCTCACCCTTTCTGGACATTTTAACCTACTCAGTTGTTAATTGCTTGTCCACCTAGAATTGCTTCCTGATCTGAGGGCTCAGGTGGCTGGGAAGTCTGAATTCTCAGACTTACTCCATGACCACAATACCTGGCACCCAGTGGGTGAATGAACACATGTCCTCACTTTATAGCGAAGGCTGCAGGAGTTCAGAGGGCAGGCCACCTGCCCCAAGTCGGGGGGCTCTGGAGCCTGTGGTGTGTTCGCAGAGGCGGTGGAAGCTGGCATCGATGGCAGCAGTCCGGGTTCTCTGTGTGCATATCTTGGAAGAGAAAGATGAGCCCTTGTTTCCAGTTGCCACCTCCCTCTGCCATAGCCACACACTGTGTCCTGGGTGTCTCTAAGTAGTGCTGCAGCCAACTTCCTTATTGTTCTTAGAAACAAAGCCAGGCAAGAGGTTTATGAGACTGACTTAGCGTACTTCTTCTAATTTTTAGGATTTTGCCCAAGGCCCTAAAATTTTTCCCATGTGAACAACTCGTTCCCATTTTCTGTCTTTTAAATCTGGTCAATGAATCAGAGAGGAGGAAAACCCATTCTTTACCGTTAGAGGAAGCCAAAACAAGAGGGCTTCCTCAGGAGAACTGCAGTTGTAAGTCTGTGAGTGCATGCGTGTGGCATGCATGTGCTGTGTGGACATGCATAGTGTGTGTACACGTGCAGTGTGTTTGTGTGCTGTGTGATGTATGTTTTGGGGGGTGTGGTATGTGCATGTATGCTATGCATACCTGGTGTGCTGGTGTGTGTGCCATGTAATACCCGCATGTGGTCCGTGTTCATGCTGTGCGTGCAGTATATGTGCATGTGGTGTGTGGCGTGTGTTCATGGTGTGCGTGATGTACCTGTGTGCTATGGGTGTGCACTGCGCAGTGTTCACGAGTGACACGTGCAAGTGTGTGGCGTGCATGCATGCACGTGGCGTGTGGTGTACATGTGTACATTGTTATAGGTGTGACGTGTGCATGTGTGCCTGTGACAGACGTGTATGGTATGTGATCACATGGGATGTTCATGTGTGGTATGTGTATGCGTGTCATGTACGTTTTGTGTGTTTGTGGTGTGTGGTGTACGTGTGTGCATTGTGTTAGGTATTGATGTACCTGTGTGTGCATGCGTGCGATGCATGTGTGGTATGCTCACAGTGCATGCCTGCATGTGTGTGTGATGGCATAGCTTGTGGGCATTGCTTACAGTCCTCCGGTGGAATCCTCTCTTTCTCTGGCCACTGAGCCATCCTGTGATTGCTGTTTAAAACATGGAGAATATTGAAGGGCTGGGGATGTAGCTTAGTTGTGGAGTGCTCGTCTAGCATGTACTAGGCCCCGGGTTATGATCCCCCGCACCAAAGGGAAAACAAATAAACACACTACTTTGGCAGAGGCAGGAGGATGGGAGGAGGAGGAGGCCTGAGCTATACAGCAAGACCTTGTCTCACCACCACCCCCCAAAAAAAAACAACAGAAAAAAAGAATGTTAAACCACACTCGTGGGACAGCAAGAAAAAGCAAAGCAAAGCAAACCTGTGCTGGCAAACAGGGGAGCTGGCAAAAGCAGCAGAAGGGTAGGAGTTATCAGCAGATAGAGGTCTCCTGTGGCCCCCACGCCTTTTGTGAATAAAATGAAGTTGGTTAAGTGGCTTCCGGTAGTTTCAGTGTTCACTAAGGCAGCTAAAGATTTGATCAGAATAGAGGCCAGAGAAAAGGGCATTCTCTCGCACTGTACCAGTAATAAGGGCGTCTAGACCTGCAGCCACTGCGATTTTCATGCTAAATGCTGGCGGATGCCTGAACTGGATGTTGTTTAACCATGGTTTTCTGAAAATTCTCTTTGATTCATGAGCTTTTGTTGCTTAAGAGATTTTTGAGGGTGAGAAGGCCCATGTGAGTATACATGTTTGCTTTCCTTTCTCTTCAAAGTAAAAACCTAAAACAGGAAATGATTCAGGGGCAGAATGAGTAAGGCCAGTTCAAAGTCAAGTTAAGCTTTTCTTGTTTTGTTGGTACTGGGGCTTGAACTCAGGGCCCTGTGCTTGCTAGCCAGAGGTTCTAAACTTGAACCATGCCCCCAATCCAAGCTGTGCATTTTGCTGGGACTAAAACTTGTTACAGCCCAGAGTTTTAGCACCCTTCATCTTAGAATTTGGAATCTCAAAGGACAGCCTGTCCCACCCTCTCTGCCTCTGGGACAACACAGTCTCTTAGTCACAGGAGTTTAGTTTGGGTCTCCGCTCTTGCCGTGCAACTATCAGTAAATTACTTAACTTCTCTGAATTACCACTTACTTATTTGTAATGCATGGGACTGTTTTGAGCATTAAATGAGAAGAGGGTCTGTGAAACAACACTGTAAACAATAATGGTGTAAATGAATGCTGCTTGAAATGGTATTTCTGGACTGTGTCTCTGCTATGGGGGAAAAATAGTGACTGTGGTGTACTGGGGGGTCTTGTGAGTTGGGGACTGCAATAACTTGGCTAACTCGCTATAACTCTTTTACAGGAAAAGAAACTGAGGCCAGGAGCTGAGTAATTCATTCAAGGTTATTACCAAGTTGGTAAGTAACAGCTGGGTATGACCGGGGCCATCTAGCTTCAGAGCCTGCCCTCCTCACTACTTCACTCTGAGGAAAATTCAAAGTGTGGATAATGGCCAGGGGACAGAGTGAGTTCAGTAGAAGTGAGACCCTCTGCCCTGTTGAAATGAGAGCATGTGCACACTCTTTTGTTAACTCTGTGAATATTTATTGAGAATCGTTAAGTTACTTTTTTAGAGATGATGGCATACCCATCCTTCCACCAACATTAACAGTAATTGAGTATTTAGAGAATATTAACTTGCAGGGGCAGTGTCTCATGACTACTGTAATTCTAGTTACTTCAGAGTCAGATCAGAAGGACTCCAGTTCAAGGCCAGGCCAGGCAAAAACTCTGTGAGGTCCCACCTCAACTACTAAAAGCTGGGCATGGTGGTGTGTGCCGCTCATCCCAACCATTTGGGAAACATAAACAGGAGGATCACAGTCTAGCTGGTCTGGGAATAATCATGAGAGCCTATTTGAAAAATGACCAAAGCGTAAAGGGCTGGGGCTGTGGCACAAATGGGTAGAACACTCACCTAACAAGTACAAGGCCCTGAGTTGAAACCCTGTTACTGCCAAAAAGAATTAAAAAAAAAAATTACCTTGTACAGACCTTGTGCTAAGCACTGTATCTGAATTAAGCCTCACTACAGCCCTACAAAGTTGAAGTTCAGCGAAAGGAAGTACCTTCCCCAAGGGCATTCCATGATAGGACAGAGTCAGCATTCACAGCAAAGCAGTCTTAGAAGTAGTCTTATTAGACACTGTCATTTTATCACCTATTAAGGCCCCTCCTGAAAAACCATCTGCTATTTGAGCCTGGATGCCCTGTAGCTGACAGGGCACTTTGTCTTCTGCCTCTTCTTTTTCTGGGCCTCCTGGTCTCCTCACTACCTCCATGTGGCTGACCAGCCTCACCAACCTTGGCACCATGCTCCACAGCGGCCTCTGCTCAGGCACTTGGCATACTTTTAACTCCTATTTTAATGGAGCTTTATGAACTGTAAAATGCATGAGTCTTAATCGGACGGCTGGATGAATTTTTAATACATTATACCCATCTAACCAGCCCTCAATCAGATATATTCAATATTTCCATCATTCTAGGAAGTTCTCTCATACCCTTCTTGGATAGTATTGCCTGAGTGATGATCACTATTCTTACTTAGAATAGATCCGTGCTTCTGATATGTCCAGATTCATACATACTTGCTCAACAAAACAAAATGAAGTAGAGATAAAAAAACACTTTAAGGCCAGGTGCCATTGTCTCACGCCTGTAATCCCAGCTACTTGGGAGGCAGAGATCAGGAGGATCACCAGGCAAATAGTTCGCAAGACCCTGTCTCGAAAAAACCCATCACAAGAAAAGGGCTGGTAGAGTGGCTCAAGTGGTAGAGCACCTCCCTAGTAAGTGTGAGGCCCTGAATTCAACCCCAGTGCTGCCAAAGGAAAATAAACACAAAAGCACTTTAAATAGTGTGAATGATCATGCCTAGCTTGATGTAAGAGGAGTCTCTCTTGGAGTAAGTGTGAATGGGAGACACTGATCTTCTATTTCATCTTTGTTCCCATGACCTTTTAGAGTGTGGGCATCTTGTGCTGTCAGTATTCCCTGTAGTTCTAGATTTTAATTAGGACATGACAAAGCCACTGAATCCCAGCCAGCTATGTCATATGGGGCCCTCTCAAGAAACCCAGTCCAGCGCAGAAGGAAAGACTGGCTGCATTGGTCACCACGAGAGATGGCTTATCAGTCTCCAGTGTGAGGGTGTGTGGGGTTTTCAGGGGACTGGGACTCTCCAGTTTTGTGTGTTGACTTGAGATGCTAACCCTTGCACACGATGCAGTTGTAATGCAGACAGAACTCAAGTGTGGGTAAGTGATTAGATTGGATCTGGTGACCTGGAACACTTTTGGCAACTTGGTGGACTGAGCTGATTTGTAGAGTTGATGGAAACAGAGGAATTGTATCGAGGGGAGCTCATTTTAAAAAACGGAAATCCACCAATGTTAAAGATGAAGAGAGAATGTAAGACAGTGATTGCACATGAGCTGAAGCTGTGACCATGACTGAAGCTGTGACCATGACTGAAGCTATCCCGGAGCTTCTGCACCCAGTATAGGACCAAGGTCCAGGGGACTAAGATTTTGTTTTAACTTTTTTGCTTTTTAAAATTATTATTTTTCAGATAGGTCTTGTTTTTACTCAGGGTTAGCCTCGGACTGTGATCCTCCTGCCTATGGCCTTCTGCATAGCTGGGATTACAAGTATGAGCCACCTCACCTGTCTTATTGAGCTGGGAGTCTCACTGACTTTTTGCCTAGGCTGGCCTTGAACTGTGATCCTCCTGTCTTTACCTCTGAAGTAGCTGGGATTATAGGCATAGGTTACCACACCCATCCTGGGGCTGAGTTTTTAAATGCTACAAAGGGTCCAGAAATCAGGCCTGGGTTCAGTGTAGAACTGAGTCCTAAAGGTCTAAGTTCTTCATGAAAAAGGAGCCAGAAAAACTCCATTGCCTGAAAGTTTGCCGTGCATTGAAAAATATCACCAGCAAGAAATAAAAAACCAGCTGAGGGCCAGTGGCTCATGCTTGTAATCCTAGCACCCAGGAGATAGAGATCAGGAAGACTGCAGTTCAGAGCCAGCCCGGGCAAATAGTTCGTGAGACCCTATCTCAAAAAACCCAACACAAAAGGGCTGGTGGAGTGGCTCAAGGTGTAGGCCCTGAGTTCAAACCCCTGTACTGCCAAAAAGAAATTAAAAACTTAGCACTGCACCATATGTAGTTGTGTAATCTATATTTTTATCACCTATGAGATACAAAACCCTTCAACTTTTACCTAAAAACTAGTCTAGTACCATAGAAACTCCTAACACAAATGCAAAGTCACTCCACAGGGATATTTCAACAACCCATACCTAAGGGGGCTCCCTCAGAGTCCCACCTTTTGAAGACAAGTTCACAATTAAAAATTATAAATTGCCCAGGAAACAAATCACTCTCAAGTTGAAAGTAATGGAGCCCTTTAAATGAGACCATGAAGTGGTATATTTAAAATGATTAAGAACTAATAAAATGAAAAAAGGCAAAGAAAAAATGAAAAAGAATAAGAATATTTGAAAAGCAAGCAAATTGAAATGAAAAAGCTATTACATTAAAAGTTCTAACAAAAGGGCTAAGTGAAAGATTAGACATGGCTAAAGAGAGAATTAGTGAACTGGAAGGCAATAATAGTTAACGTGTGGTACAGTATGTACACAGTGTGTTCTGTGTACTTTACTTGCACTAACTCTTTTAATCAGAACAAAATTAGGAGGTAATGTTGTTATAATTATCATCACCTGTATTTTATAGATGAGGAAACTAAGGCAGTTTAAGCCCTTGCCCAAGGTCACACACTTGTCCAGGCTTGATAGAGCTTGGATTTTTCCCCACACTGTCTACTGTAACCTGGAGTCTGTGCTTTCAGTTCCTACACTATGAGGATTCAGCAAGAATAAGCACTAAGAGATAAAGAGAGGGAAATATGAAAGAATAGTAAAGAGGCTAGAAGGTACTACTTACCACTACTAGAAAACATGAGGATTAGGCTGGGCAGGGTGGCTCAAGCCTGTAAACCTAGATACTTGGGTGGTGAGGACTGGAAGGATTGTAGTTTGAATCCAACCCAGGCAAGATGTTCATGAGACCCCATCTCAACCAATGGCTGGGATGTGGTGGTGTACATCTGTCATCCTTGCTATGTGAGGAAGCATAAATAGGATTGTGGGTGAGGCTGTCGTGGGCATAATATGAGACCCTATCTCAAAAATAACCAACATAGAAAGGGTTGGAGGCATGGCTCAAGTAGTAGAGTACCTGCCTAGCAAGTATGAGGCTCTGAATGCAACCCCTTGTACTGTCAAAAAACAGAACAAAAAACCTATAAGGATTCGATGATTTTTGAGGCTTCCTCCAGTTTTTGAGTTCCAAGAATTTGTGACCAGATCAGCATCAGGGTTAAATATTCAGTGAAGGATGTGAAGCCTCAGTTTCCACTGTAAAATGCATTGATTAGCTGTGAAGTATGTACAGTGGTCTCTCTGGGGAGAGAAAAAAATGCACTGATTTCTAATATTTGCTTGGGTGCTGTAGTATAAATATTTCCAGAATGACCCGCTTTAAGCTACCAATGTCGTGACTAACCTTGTGGGGAAGAAATGAACACAGTCAGGTCTCCTGAGCTAGTGTGCCTGGCCCCGATGGACTACTGGCTCCCATGGACCACTGGCTTCTGTGGACCATTAGCTCTGACATTTTCTGTTTTAAGCTCTGATCCCTGGGTTGTACATCCAAGGGTAGAATTTTCAGGAAGTGGTAATGTCATGGGTGAGTCAGAGGGACAAGAAGAGACAATGGGACAAGAATAGAACTCTGCTGTTTTTCTCCCTTTGTATTTAAAATAAATTAAAACACAGCATAACAACCTTTTGTGAATGTGGGCAGAGAAACTGGCATGCTCCTTACACTGTAGGTAAAAGTGAAAATTAGTACGACCTCTTTGAAAAGCAATTAGGCACTATTTAGTAACATTTTAATTGCACACACTCTCCGACCCTGCAATTCTACTTCAAGGATTTTTAAATTTTATTTTGAGACTTACTGTGTGAGATTTACCAGGGTGTCCTTGAACTCAATATCCAACTGCCTCAACCCTCACAAGTGCTAGTATTACAGGCATGTACCACATGCCTAGTTACACACATTTGTGTAATCTGTGTCATTGCAAGACCCTGGAAGCAACTTAAATGTTTATCAATAAGTAATTGCTTGACTGTATATCCTTAAAGTAGGATGCTATCTGCACTATTGTGCAAAATAGGTTATATATGCTAAGAAGGGCAGTTTCTAAGATGTGTGTGTGTGTGTGTGATTACTGGGGATTGAACTTAGGCCTCAGCTTGTTAGGCAGGTGCTCTACCATTTGAA